CCTTGAGGCTCCCACCACATAACCGAACCAAGGTGTAACACGGGCTACCTTGGTGTTCCATGTATCAGCTAGGGTATCTACAGGACCATTTGTGATAATGGCTGAACAATGCCTCAGGGACCTCAGAAAACCCTCTGGATCCATCAGTCTCCGAGGGTGGATCATCTTAATTGGTCCTCTGCCTCTGTGGAGGGGAAGGTCATGGACTTGACCAGGTAGTGATCAGTCCATGACAAAGGGAGTGTAGCCACATCACTTATCCCAAGAAGTCTATCACCCTTAGTCCAAAAAACCAAATCAAGTGTATGACCTGCAACATGTGTTAAGTCAGTTATTTCTTGGGATAATCCTAGGGTGGCCATGGTATCCATAAAATCGCAGGCCAGACCAGACAGAACAGCCTCGGCATGGATATTAAAGTCCCTCAAGACCAAAAGCCTCGGCGTCCTCAATGTCACGTCCAACACCACGTTGGCCAGCTCGAGCAGAGCATCTGCTGTATAGTGAGGTGGGTGGTACACAAGCAGCATACCCAATCTATCCCGGCCACCCAACATCAAGTATAGACACTCGAATCTGACACTTTGTTGGACCACAACCCTAGCCAGTGAGATAGTATCTCCATAGACCAGTGTTTCCCAATTGGTGCTCCGCAAAACCCTGGGGTTCGCGGAGCAAAACTACAGGTTCCACGAGGAGCCGGCACTCCCCCGCCCCCTCTGAAAAAGAGAGAGAGAGCCGGCTAGCCAGCAGAGGCATGGGCAGCGAGTTGTGTGGGCTCGTGGTGCTCATGCTCCAGCAATATTTGGAGCTGGAGCGGGTCCCGACCCCCCCGCGCGTCCTCCCACCCCAGCCCCAGAGCATCTCTCCCCTGTCCCCGTCCCAGTCCCATCCCTGCCGTGTGCAACCTTCTCTGAGCTCCCGCTTGCTGGCTGCTGTTGCCCTGCGCAGCGTGCTCAAGACAGTGGGTGGGGAGATACCCGGACGTGACATAACGTCACGGCCCGGGATTTTAAACCTGTTGGTCCTGTGTTGCGCCGCATGGCTGAGTTGCGGGTTTGGAGTCCGGGGACAGAGCACAGACTCCGTCCCGGCAAAGTGGAAGGCAGGAGGTAAGGGAGAGGGAAAGGGAAAGGGAGGGAAGGGGCTTGTGCAGAGAGAAAAGGGAAGGGCTGGGACAGGAAGGTGCTTGTGCGGAGGGGGGGAGGGGAGAGAGGGAAGAGGAAGGCACCAAGGCACAGGGGTGGAGGAGAGAAAAATGGCAGGGGGCCAAGTGCAGACAATGAGGAAAAGGGCAGGAGGGGAGGTGTCAGTGGGAGGAGGACAGGGTGATGCTGGGAGGGGAGAGGGTAAGGGCATTGGGGGCTAGAGGGGTGAGGGGAGGTGCTGGGAGAAGGCTTGAAAGAAGGGGTGGGCATGAGGAAGGCAGGGATGGAGCAAGTCATGTGTGAGGGCACAGGGGCATGAGGGAAATGGGTGGTGAGAGGTGGGCATCAGGGAAAAAGGGGGCAAAGAGGGCAGGAGAAGTGAGGGAAGGGGGAGGCACCAGGAATGTGCAGGGGTAAGAAAAGGTGCAGGTGCCAAGGGATTCTGGGGGTGAAGCAGAAGGGCAGACACCTGCAGAGGAGGGACCAGCACCAGAGGAGAGACGCAGGGCAGGATTGTAAAGGGAGGTGTTAGGAGAGGGGATGAGGAGGGGTAGCTCACATGATCAGAGTGGGGCTACTGGAAGAGTGGGCACAGGGAGGAGAGAAGGGCTGGTGGAGGGGGCCAGATTGCAGGAGGGCTGAGGACAGTGAGAAGGGAAGGAGTCAGGACAGCAGAGGAGGGTGAGGAGGGGGAGGGGAGGAGTCAGGACAGCAGAGGAGGGTGAGGAGTGGGAGGGCAGCAGGCACCAGGAGAGCTGATGGAGCATGGGGAGGAAACATGGAAGCAGAGGGAAAAGGTAGAGGTTTAAAAATATTTATTAATAACTTGGGTGGCACATTCAAACAAGCCACATAAACTCAGTACTGGTGCACAACACAAAATTCATTTTGCTCATGTGAGGAAACTTAGGCAATGTCTACACTGGTTGTTTCTTGTGCAAGAACACATCCACACTGCCATGTGCGAGCTGTGCTTTTTCACAAGAGCATCTATGTCAGTGTGGACGCTCTCTTGCCCAAGAAAGCGCCAATGGCCATTTTAACCATAGGGCTTTCTTGCGCAAGAAATTCATGTTGCCTGTCTACACTGGCCTCTTGCGCAGAAGAGCTGCACAAAAGGGCTTATTTCTGAGCGGGAGCATCGTAGTTCTTGCGCAAGAAGCCCTGATTTCATACATGAGAATGCCAGTGTACTTGCGCAAGAACACATGGCCAGTGTAGACAGGCAGCAAATTTTTGCACAAGAGCGGCCGCTTTGGCCCAAGATAGTGCCAGTGTAGACACAGCCAAGGGGAAAAACTGGCAAGAATAGCTACTCATTGGAATTAGCAAAAGTAGTCACTTTTAAGAGGGATTTTCTCTTCAAAAGTTTGCACACCAGAGAGTGATGGTGTTCTGCAGCCTCTGCAAGTGGTCTCTTGTGACAAGTGATCTTTCTGCAGAGGTGGTCTCTAAGACTTCTTTTACTGTATATGCAAAGTGGGAAGGTGGATAGGTGGAGTGGCTAGAACACTCCTTTTTAACCATGTTCAGAGAAGGATGCAAAGTCCACCATTTTGCAAATGAAGGTATTTCCCAAGGGAAAAAAAATTAGGCCGTGCTGTAGGGGAGGCATGCAGGGAACCAGTGCAGGGCTCAGCTGGGCTGAGGTGGATGGGGGAGGGCATACAGAACAGACTGGCGGCTCAGCTGGGCTATGAGGGGCTGCATTGAACTGATGCTGCACTCCCTTAGATTCTGGGGTATGGTTTTGGGGGAGGTGCAGGGAACAAGCAGGGGTGGGCAGCTCAGTTGGGTTGCAGGGGATAGAGGTGCAAAGAAGCCTGGGGGAAAGCGGGGGGGGGAACCAGGAGCCTTGAAATGACCTCCCCGGTCCAAAAATTCCTCACCTGGGACCAGTCAGGTCCAGAGGGTGCCAGATCAGGGAGGTCCAACTCCTACCCAAGTCCCCTCCTTGCTCCCTCCCTCGTAGCCAAACACCCTACCCCCAATCTGGTCCTGCTCCCTCCCCCTGGCCAAACACCCTACACCCAGCCTGCTTCTGCACCCTACATACCACTCAGACCTTGACCCCTTCCGCCTCCCACCTCCTTCCCAGATCCTGCACCCCATCCCTATCCCGTTCCTTGGCAGCCCTGCCATCCACCCTAGCACCGCCCTGGCCCCAGCACCTTGCCTCACACCCCAGGACACAGCTCCGCCCTGGCCCCGGCCCCAGCACCCTGCCATCCACGCTAGCACCCAGCAGCACCCTGTTCCTTGTCCCAGCCCCTTGCCAGTCACCCTAGTGCCCAGCAGGACCATGTCCCTGATCCCAGCACCCTGCTACCTGCCTGCCCCAGCACCTTACCCCAGCACCCTGCCACCTGAGCCAGCATCCTTCCACCTAGCAGCACCCTCTCCCCATCCCCAGCACCCACTAGCACTCTGTCTCCTACCCCCACCAGCACATTTGGGACCACATTAGTGAGGCTTGAGGGTTTTTGGAGGAGCAGTTGTTTTTTTTTTGCATCTCACTTGTGTGGTCCCAACTGACTTTTAAGTGGGTCAGTGACCTTTGACTCAAAACAGGTTCCTCACCCCTCTCAAGTTTGACATAATATTTTATTTAAAAATGAAGCCTGGCCAACAAGCCCCCAATTGGGACCAAACCCTAATTTCACTGCAGCATCATAACACTCCTGCACCACCTGACCCCAAATCTGAGCCTATCATACACTGGAACCCCCTGTCCTGAGCCTCTTACATCCCCAAACTCCTGCATCCCCACATCCTCAGTCTTCTGCCACATTTCTCCACCATCCACACATCACAAATCTGTGTCCTGAGTCCATCATACTCACAACCTTCTTGCCCTGAGTCCCTCACATATCCAGCTCAAACTCCTGCAGCCTCACAGTCACAAGCCCTGGCTTGCTCAGCACCCCAAGCTTCCACCTGAGCCCAACACTCCCCAGCCTAGAGCCCCCTCCCCGAGCCAACAGCCCCTTCTCCTGCATCCAAATTCCCTCCCAGAGCTTGTACTTCTCACCCCTTCCCACACACAAATCCCTCATTCCCACACCTCACTCTCACTAGGCTGAGACAGGTATAAGGGCTGGGGATAGCAAGTGATGGAGAGGAGGGGAACAGAGTGGATGAGGCCTCATGGAAGGAAGGTGGGGGGGGTCCCCATGGAAGGAAGGTGGGGGGGGTCCCCCCCTTTTTTTTGTTTGCTTGACAAACCTAGGGGTTCCTTGAAATTCTGAAAAGGGTTCCTTGGCCAAATAAAATTGGGAAATACTGCTATAGACAATTGCCACCCCACCTCTCCGAACATTAAGCTGCGGCTGATGCTGTACTGAGAACCCAACTGGCCACAATTGGGAAAAGTCAATGCCTCCCTCCACTCGCAGCCAGGTCTCAGTGATACAAGCCATGTCAGCCCCTTCATTCAGAATTAAACCATGGATGACAGCTGTCTTCTGGGATACTGACCTGGCATTCAGCAACAGCACCCTCAGGGCTGATGGCCAGGTATTAAAGTTCCCAAAATTTTTAATTTTGTTTGCAATGTTATTAAAGCAAGAATCCAATAAAGGACTTTTTAAAAAAATGTGAATAGGCAAACGTGAACTCTTTACTCACAGCAAAAAGCTACCACCTTTACTTATGGCGAGCAGTACCATGTAGCTGAGTGGCAGAATTTGGACCAGTGTTACGTCCTCATTCAAGAACATTCTCATTGAAGGCAATAGTATCTCTGCTGGAGTGTAGTTATCAGGATTTGGCTCAATGTGTTAAATGTTGGATCTCCTATGATATAATGTAAAATGGAAATAAAGGAAATAGCACTAATCTTCCTTCACTTACCTTAGTTTAACTGTGAACTGTATTAAGGTTTTAAGTACCATTGGTCTCTGGGGGTGGGTGGGCATGCAGGGCTGCCTTTCGATCACAAATGAACTAGTTTGAAAAGAAATAGCTTAATTAAAATCATGCATAAATATACCGATCTAGTCAAAGGGCTTTCATATTACGGAGGGTGACTTTTTTTATGCATACTGAAGTGCCAGGTGTACATTCCAGTTCAACACCTCACATTCTATGTTCTTCTTGCAAGTTACTCCCATAAGAAATGGACTAAGTGAAAATAGCAGAAGAACACATCATAGCATAGAGATATCATATTCTGCTAAAAGACACAGGAAAAAAATCACCACTACAAATGAGACATGAAAACTGGCTGCAAAATTGGTTCCAATAAAATGTATAAAACATAAAATAGAACAGGACTTGAACAGAGTGAAAAAAAAGAACTAGATGGAGGTTAGGTCCATTAATAACTACTTCTTAGATAGGACGGGCAGGAACGGTGTCCCTAGCCTCTATTTGTCAGAGGCTGAAAACGGGTGACAGGAGAGAGATCACTTGATGATTGCCTGCTTTGTTCATTCCCTCTGGGGCACCTGGCATTGGTCACTGTGAAAAGACAGGATACTGGGCTTGATGGACCTTTAGTCTGATCCAGTATCGCCATTCTTACGTTTTTACATTATGTTCTTAACAGTCGTTTCACATTTCTGTCATATTTTAATGACAAATGGCCAAAATTTGCTCTCAGACAGGGCCAGTCCTAGATATCTATTACAAGGGCAATCACATGTGGTGCATCCACAGAACAGGCAAAACACAAGCAATGGAACAGTAACAAAATACCGTTTGCTTAAAAGGAAGAAGTTAAAGGGGATGGGTGAGTGTGGCATACATGGAGGCAAAGAAGAGGCATGGAAGAAACTATCATCTCTTAGACCCACACCAGACACTTTTCACAGAGTCACGTGGATGATTCCTATTGATATCAATAGGAGTCATTCATATTTATCCAAAGGCAGAACTTGACCATGAAACTTTTAAGGGCCTGACCTGCAAAATTCTTATTCCCAGGCTCCTATCACTATCTGTTAGAGTTATAGGTGCTCATCACTTTTAAATACCAAGCTCTTATGGACACATTCAGGCTTTTTTTTTTTTTTTTTTTTTTTTTTTTAACAATGATAAACTGTGTTGCTGCTGAGGTGTTTTAGATTCCTGCATCTTAAATGACACAAAATGTATAGTAACTGATGTACCTTCGGAAAAGATTGTACAGCAAGAAGTTGACTCTTTCCAGCAGGTGAGGCCTTTGAAGAAGAATAGGATCTCCATCATAAGTCAGCTTAGTCAACAGTTCATCTAATTTTTCCAGTTGTCTTCTCACTTGAAAAAGGCTCTCTGCCAGCAGTGTAAAACTATTACAGAACAAAGTTACATTCTCTCACATTAATTGCTTATTAGAACATAAAAGTTACTGAAGCTCTTTTAAAACAAAAATCATAGAATTAAAATCAATTGGCATTTACTAGCCTTATACAAGCTAACATCAGTCAGCTAAATTAATATATGTGACTCATTGGCCAGATTGTTCCTATAATATAATTTCAGAGCTGAGCCCTTTCCCAAAAGACCATATTGACAATGACTTGAGTGGCTGTGACTTGCTAGAAATATATCCACAACCACTACTACAGGACTATAATGCTAGAGCTCAGTAGTATCTTTGCAAAACATGGTAAGAGAAGAACATTTATATCTGAGAAAAGTGAGGAGATGACTGTGAAAATCCAGCCCAAGCACACTTGGCTATCAGTTTACTTTAATGGGTTTCATGCAGCTAAAATCCCTTATGAGACTTAGAAAAACAGTCTTCCTCCCCATAGCAGTGTAAAAAACTGAACAAGGATTTCAAGATTTGTCCTGTTACATTGTTGTCACAAATTCACATACAAAAAGATCAGGTAGAACTGGTTGAAAAAAATGTTTATTGAAAAAATATTTTGGTAACAAAAAAAGTGCTTTTTGGCCAAAATACACATTTTCGTTTTGCTGGACATTTTTTGATGAAAAACAAATATTTTCAGTTTTCAGCAGTGAAAAAATGGTTCTGTTTTTTATTGTTTCCCTCTCTATCATTCTTTCCATTTTCCCTACGGATTATCAAGTACAACTTTTTTCCATTGGGGGCAAAAGCTTCATGAGACATAAAAAACTGTTGGGAAAACACTGAAAGGAGCAACAAAGTTCTCTGGCTCTATTATAATGGTCACATTTAATTATGTTTACATTCCAGCATTGAATCTAGATATGAAAACCTCTTGAGACTTTTGTTAGTTTCAAATACAGGCTATTATATCTCATTAAACTCCTCTTTGTTGTAATGACCTACTGAGGTTTCAAATCTGGTGAAGTGATGCATTAAGTGAGTCAAATCATGAAGTCTTTACCTATTTCTTCCCCAGATAAAACTCCCACTGTCCTCAAGTGACGAGCTTAGTGATCTCAATGTGCCACTATAGTACGCACAGAGAAGTCAGACTTTATGAGATGAGAATGTTGTTTCTCTGTGGGGTTTTTGACTAGATCTGTACATTTATGTGTGGTTTTAATCAAGTTATTTATTTCTTTTTAGCCAAACTCCTTTGAGGAAGCATATATGATATATGGCAAGCTTGTCGCACACAGTTGTTTTGTTTAACCACCTGCAAGTGCTCAGTCTCTGAGTACAGCCTGTTGTTTGGTATTCATTCTCACAGCACATTATACCTATCAAAGCCCATTGCATTTCAGTTACTTATTTCCTTAACTGCTACCATATCAGCAGCAAGCATAATTAATTCATACATACAACAGCAGCTCTGATGGAACCCTGTCTTTTCATATGTGCTGGGCTACTGTGAAGCTGCAGACTTCCTGTGGTTTTCACTGGAAACTTAAAGTAAATGTAAATTTACCAGTTCTGGAGCTGATCAAGCCCATTATGTAGAGGACCTCCAATGCATGCAATTTGCTGGCGCCTTTTCCAGTCCAGAAGCTCTTCAAGTAACATGTTGTTCATTAAGACATCACTTTCATTTATTACTTGTGTCATTTTACTAAGGACTTCCTGCAAGGAACAGGACAAGTGTCACAAACTGATCACAGGGAACACCAACAATAGTTAGAAATGAAGCCAAATATAATGCTGGACAAAAATTTTAATTTCTTAGAGTTAGAAGAAGTCTGCAGTTCTTATGTGCAATAAAATGATTCACCTTGTTTTTAAGCATCCATCTTTGAAACACCATATTCAAATGACTTAAGGATTTAAATTTATAATGTTCTAAAACTTACAGATTAATTTTTATTTCTGAGAAAATGACCATAGTTGTATACTGCTACTGCTTGGGTTCAGATGATTGGATTCCCCATCCACTGTACTAAAAATGGTCCTGAATGTTAATTAATTCTTTTTACATAGAGATTTTTTTTCAAATTCTTTTTTTTAGGGAATTTATTATGGTATAACACCTCCAGGACCTTGACATGTAGAAGCACTGTTAAGGTCACAAACTCCATTCTGTGATTTTGGATTGTATCCCACATAGATTTTTCTTTAACAAAGAAAAGAATATATGGAAATATATCTAGGTTTTTAAGCTATTCCAATATGGACACTATAAAAACAGACTTAGAATGAGTGCCTTCTCCACTACCAAGGAAGAAGGCGAGGTCTTGATCACATTCATCAGTTTGAATTCAAATGCACTCAATAAAAAGATGTCTGGTTTTGTAGTTATGGGATTGCATTGATCTGGAGTGGCTTTCTTTTCTGTTTTTAAATGAAATAATTGCCAATAAAAGAGTTGACTGAAGTAAAGTTCATGTAATGTGATGATGACCCTTACCTGTACACTGAGCAGTTTTTACCCATATGCAGAATATACAATTG